AGACATCTAAAGTCATCTTAACGTGAACGCTTTAATGGTCAAAAAGGTGTCAAAACGCGGTGTTTAGTGATTATTAACATTAACCCTCATTTGTATAATAAACAAACGAGTTGAGGATCAAAAGACGTGAAAGAGAAACCATTAAAGATACAGCGTGCTATCCTTCTGCCGCCTGTTTTTATCATTATTAAACAAACATAACGAGAAAACCCTCGCTGCTCTTGACTGAAGGAATGCTGTAGCTAAAGTGTTTTTCTTACAGTGAAGATGCTTAAAGCACAGTTTGTTTCATATTTTTATTCTATTGTATTTATTTCTCTTTCCATTGCAGGGTGGAAAATAACTGTATGTATACAGTTGAAGTCAGAATTATTAGCCCTCTTGAATATTAGCAAACCTTTTCCTGCCCAATTTCTGTTTCATGGAAAGAAAATTTAATAACTTATTTCTGAACATAATAGTTTTGATATCTCATTTCTAATTACTGATTTCTTTTTGTCTTTGCTATAATGACAGCACATAATATTTTACTAGATATTTTTCAAAATACAAGCATTCAGATTAAAGTGCAGTTCAAAGGCTTAATTAGAGTAATAAGGCAAGTCATTATAACGGTAGTTTATTCTGCAGACAATCAAAAATATATATTGCTTAAGGGGGCTAATAATATTGACCTTAAATTGGTTTCAAAATATTTAAACCTGTCTTTATTCTAGCTAAAATAAAACAAAGAGAAGAAAAAATATTATAGGAAATACTGTTAAAATTCCTTGCTCTGTTAAACATAATTTGGGAAATATTTATAAAAAAAAAAAAAAAAAATCTCAGGAGCTCTAATAATTTTGACCTTAACTGGCAATGGTTTTGAATAATCGTGATTACAATTATGACCAAAATAATCGGGATTATGATTTTTCCCAAAATCGAGCAGCCCAAAAAAATAAAAAATAATCTAAACACATGATTAAAATTCCAACATAATAGTGAAAATAATTAAAATAAATAACTTTAAATAATTATTTAAATTTTGCTCACTCGCGCAATCTGCTTGTCAACGTATCGTAAAGGCAAAATCAAAACAAAAATGGCAGACAAACGTAAATGCAGTGATTCTTCAGAGGCGAAGAAAAAGATTAGACAGTATGACAAAGCCTACCTAAATTTTGGTTTTATTGAAGGCCAAGACAAGTTAAAACTGATTAATTAATATTTTCTATACATATTACTATATATTAATATTACACAAACACACACACACACACACACACACACACATATATATATATATATATATATATATATATATATATATACACACACACAGTACATATGTGTGTGCGTGCGTGCGTGCGTGTGTATTTATATGGTGGGGGGGCTCCAATGTTTGTATATGTTTATTGGGGGGGCCCCAAAGAAAAAGGTTGGGAACCACTGTTCTAGAGAGCCCAGTAAGAGCTTGATTAGCTAGGCCAGGTCTAATTGGAGTTGGAGCTAAAATATGCAGGACACTGGACCTCCAGGACCGGGATTGAGAACCCCTGAACTAGACTAATCGGACAGCATTTGACATCAACAAAACAATACAAAAATTCTACAATCAAAACTAATCCCATGGTCACAGACCAGCAAAGAGTAGCTCTTATGATGGTGAACTTTAAAGATGGACTTCGGTACTTCCATGGCTGCTGCTTTACCCATCTTGGAGAATGCAGACCACTGTTGGTTGATGATACTTTTCTTTCAGGCCAGAACCTCTCTACAACTGTGCTCTTTCCCAAGTGCATACATTTTCTAGGTGAGATGATTACAGAAAATATCATTAAATTATTAAACTTTATATTTTACAAGAGAAAACATCTCAATTCTGTAGTCTACGGCAATTGTTCTCAGCAACCTTGGTTTATGTTTTATTTCACTTTTATCCTGATAGTTAAAGATAACAAAACAGAAAACAAAAAGAGAAACAAAACAAACAAGCAGTGTCATAGTAAATAGCATTTTTACCTGGACTAACAGAATGGACAACCCCTCGTTGCAATCCAGGTTCCTCATGTGTCATTTATACTTGGGACAATGCCCTTTAGAGAAATCAGAGAAGATATTTGAATGAGCAAATGAAAAGTAATGCCATCATTTTACACTCAAAAGCTACATTTACACTTGGTATTAAGATGCAATTTCAGATTACAAGTGGAAGACAGTAAATACAAGCCCAAACAGGATCTAAAACGTATTGAGCTTCTTCGATTTAAACTACTTTATGCCACTTGACCTAACACTTCATGCATATATATAAAAAGCATGCTAGGGTATATACATTCTGGACAAAGAGTTGACAGGAATCGAAATTTCTGACATGAAACAAATCAGGAAATAATGACAACAAATTACACATTTGCAGTTATTTTAAGCAAAAAAACAAACCTTTTGGAACTATCTGTTTAACGTTCCACTAAATTCCTCTGTGTTGAAAAATCTTATTTCTAGCAGGTGTGCTTCAGGTGTAAGTCTCACTCTTCCATTCTTTTACTGAGGCAGTTTGAACAGACCTATGCAATATTAAACATAAAAAAAAACAATCAAACTTTTATATATAAACTTATTTTATTAAATCATATAAGATGTTGAATTATATAAAGTATTTAGACCCCCTTAAATTTTTCACTCTTTGTTAAATTGCAGCCATTTGATAAAATCATTTAAGTTGTTTTTTCTTCATTAATGTACACAAAGCAGACCATGTTGACAGAAAAAAAAACACAGAATTGTTGACATTTTTGCAGATTTATGGTGTTTAGACTTACTTTTCACTGTCCTCTTCCTTAACATTAGGCTCACAGAAGTCTGACAGGTCTTTCGAGGTGCACTTGGAGTTCTCACTGAATGTGGACACTTCTATCCTTGGTCTTTTAATTGGTGTTGATGTGAAACATGAAGGTGCAGAATTGGCATCAGAAAACGATGTGCCAACCGGCTGCAACCAGCAAGGCTTCACTTGAACCCCTAAAATTTTCAACAAACACAAATGACAATCAAACTTATGGAACACAACATTTTTTTTACACAAATATGAAGATTAACATGGCTAGTAGCAGGCTTTACCTTTACTCCGTACTTTCTGCTTTTGTTTTTCCGTGCGGACTGACACACTCTTCACATTTGGAGGATCACACTGACAGGCCACATCTCTTGTTAGGGGCTTTAGAACATGAATAACAGCATGCAAAATAAATACAAGTAAAACTACATAAGAGAGAATTAAGTGTGACTGGCAACTTTTGATTTCAGCTTGGAGTAAGAATTATTCACACAAACTCTTTCATCTTTATCCATTCATTCAGTTTTTATCTCTCCCTCACAATACAAACACCATTAACGCTAAATATCTATCTATCTATCTATCTATCTATCTATCTATCTATCTATCTATCTATCTATCTATCTATCTATCTATCTCAGATTGTTTTTTTACTTTCGGAAATGGTGCTGCTAATGGATGCCATGACATGCAGATGTTGAGGATGCTTTTAACGTCCGAAGCTGCCTGCTAGTTCCACTTACCTTCAATGTATGGGAAGCACCAACCGTGTATACTGACGGGACAGCGTTTTCAGTCAACGACAGAAACTTCACAAAGCCCATTTTGTGCCGTGTCCAGTTTTTGAAGGAATCTTGTGTAAAGTGTTTCGAGCACAGCCGAGAACTCTCTGATATCGCGCCTTCTTCAAAATGCAAAAAGTCGAGCCATCGAGACCGCAACCACGGTATTTTAGGGAATGTGAAAAGAGTTTCGGGGGAGCCACAACCTAACACACACCTCCTCGACATCTCTGTTTTGATATCTGTTTAACTTTGCTTTCTTCCTTATTCCTTCTTCCTCCTCCTCCTTCTTCTTCTTTATTTGGAACTGCAGCTGGCATTAAAATGCATTACTGCCATCTGCTGTATTCGTTTAAACTTCGTTCTTCCAGTCTTGTCCCAACTAAACACAACTTATGTTCTTTGGCCTCCACTCGGGGGCACTGCCAGATGTTGGGCCCTATGCACAATTTTTAAGTGGGTCCCTCTATTTATAAGTAAAACCCAGGGGTCTCCCGTCGCAGGGCCCCTAATAGTGCCATGGCCCTATGCACCCTGTCCCCCTTTCCCCTAGCTACACCCCTGCCTCCACGTATAGCCTACATTCCATTACTTTTTAGATACTTTATGTGCCCATTTCTCATGAATGTGTGTGTGCATGGATGTTTCCCAGTGATGGGTTGCAGCGGTAAAACATGCTGGATAAGTTGGTGGTTCATTCCGCTGTGGCGACCCCTGATTAATAAAGGGACTAAGCTAAAATAAAAATGAATGAATAAATGATCCAAAATAGTGCATTTTTTCTGAAGCGTTTTGTCTGAAATAATGTTATGAGCATGTCGCTATATATATTCATATTTCTAATTCTCCATATTGCATTATTTTTAATATTTTAATCAAAAAATAATTTGCATAAAACAATATGATTAATCACAACAAATTACCATATATTAATTTCCGACGCAGTGATGACTGGAAAAGGATGATTTATGTGACGTACACATTCCCCACCATATTATTTGGAAATTATTTTATTATTTTTAGAGTTTTTATATATCCCTGCATGGGGGACAATATACCCTAAAAACATTTTATTGACAGTGGCCAAAAGTATTTAACCGTAAAATAAAGTAATGTCAAGAATAATCGTGAGGTTAGCTATAATCGAATTACTTCAAAATCAAAGACTGTAAATCAGGTCTTAGATCAGAGAAACTATTCAATATAGAGACAAACATTGTTTAGAAAAGTGTTGCGGCAGTTTTGTGTTTAAAAAAAATAGCAAAATGCCTGCGACGCCCTTGAAAACTTTTTTTAAGGTTGCTCTCAGTAATTTAACCAATATATGGACGGTACAAGCAAGTTATTTTCAAATTGAACATCTTGCTTGTCCTGTACGGACATCAAATTACCACAAGATGGCGCCAAGTCCAGTTTATTGCATCTGTTACGCATTTCGCAAGCGCCGGAAACGTGCTCTCGAACGCTGATGTGTTATTTTGCTTTGGTAGTTATTTAGTTTTAGGTATTATTCTTTAAAAACTAGATGCTGTTAGACTTTTAGAAACCTAAAGGGAAAACTGTTATCCGGTGAAGAACAGTTGCACAAGAAGGAGAACTCAGAGGAGATGGCGGTATGTGTCAAGATTATAGATTATGATTTATAACAGCATCTTTGGAGTTAATTCATGTGATAATTGCATGTTGTAACTAGAAAGTGTATGGTTTACTTCGTATTAATGATGTAAATATCTGCTATTTCTCCGTTAGCCGAAAGGAAAAGTTGGAACCAAAGGCAAAAAACAAATCCACGAGGAAAACCAGGATACTCTCAAGTTCTACAGCAGGATCATCCTGGGAGCAAATGTAAGGCAAACCTAATAAGAAGTCATACATGTAAATATGAGCTGATTCTTTTTTTCTAATGTGTCATTTTATACTTCAATGAATTTAATTGCTTGTGTTCTCTTCAGGCTATTTATATAGCAGTCAATCTCTTGCTGTTTTACAACTCCAGTTCATTTTGGACATGGGTACGTAAATAAAAGCATTCCTGCTTGCATGATAACCCTCTTAAGTTTATCCTATAAATTATTTTGCAGCATCTTTGAAAATGTAACAATTTAATATGTAGTGTTTAATGTAATAACACTTGTCAGTGTGTTATTTCAAAAGTTCATCCAAAAAAGAAAATCATTTACTCATCCTCCACTTTTTTCCAAACCTGTTGAGTTTTTTTCTTCTTCTGTTAAACACAAATAATAACTTATTGATGAATATTGGAAAGCAGCAGCCATTGACTTTTATTAATGTTTTTACTATGGATGTCAACGACTGATGGTTTCCACAAAATGTATTTTCCACAAAATAGTTCACCACAAAGTGTACTCGCTATTTACTCACCCTGAAATGTTTCCAAACCTCGATGTTTCTGAAAGCTGAAAGCCTGTAAACATTTACTTCCATAGTAGGAAAAGCAAACATTATGGAAGAAAATATGTTTTTTCAAAAAAATTAAACCTGAATTGTTTAAAATTTGCTTGTATTCTGCAGTGTTTGAGATGTATTGAGTAAGGTACCCGATTACTTTTTATACTTTTATGTTGGTCTAAATTCTTTTAGGTTTGCATTTCCGTCTTCATAGCTTTACATTTATTACTATTATTCAATGATATATTTTTCAATGTGTTAACTTATTGCAAGTAAGAAATTTGCAATGATCAAACAATTTTCTTTTTTGCCAAAATTTAAAAAAAGAAAATAATTGTCCACAACTACTTTATTTTAAATCTAAAAGTTTAGTTCAAAATCAAATAGCTTGACAGTGACTTGCTTCACCAAAGCTAAGATTTGACTTGCACATATCTGACTTAACCCCACGTCTGCTGTGTATGTACTCATTCTCAAGTGGTTCACAATCTGAGTTTATTTCTTCTGTTGAACACAAAAGAAGATATATTGCGGAAAGCTGAAAACTTGTAACCATTGACTTCCATAGCAGAAAAAACAGCCTCTATGGAAGCCAATGGTTACAGGTTTTCAGCATTCTTAAAAATATCTTCTTTTGTGTTTAACGAAAGATAGCAATTCAAAAATGTTTGAAACAAGGAGTAAATGATGACAGAATTTAGGGTGGTGAACCATCTCTTAAAAAAGCTACAATGATTTTTGTATCACTGAATGTGAGGCTTTTATGTCAACAGAGATATGATGGACTCTTGTTGGGTTCCAGCATTTTGATAAATCATTTTGACTATTCTTATTGCAGTCTGGTGCTTAATTCTGCTTTATCTCTTTTGTATCAGTTCTCGCTCATGTTTGCAGTGGCGGTCTACGTTGGCAGCTACAGATCTATGTCAGCAATGGCCAAACCTGCATTTGCTGAAGACGGTAGCTTGCTGGATGGAGGCATTGACCTTAATATGGAACAGGGCATGGCAGAGTGAGTTAGACATTTTGTCTTTATATTAATGTCCTGTTAGACAAAAGCAATGAGCAGACCGAAGATCTCATTGAAAATGTTTATTTAGCATCAGTTCAAAAAGTATGTTGAACCTCAAACATTCTCAGCTCAATCATTCTATACTGTTCTAGTTTCATTCATTCGTTTTCCTTCAGTTTAATCTCTGATTTATCAGACCACAGTGGAATGAACTGCCAACTATTCTAGCCAGTTGCAGTTATAGTTTAAATTGCACCCTGGGCAAACCGCCCCATTTACACCCTCCCCCCAAAAATAAAGGAGACTTTTTATTACTCCCATTGGAACACATGTAATTGTCTCAAACAAACAAACTGAAAATTTTAATATATTTAATACATCTGGACCTTTTTTGCTGCAAAGGCATCAATTATATTGTTATGGAGCCCATTAGGGTACCAAACCAAACCTTGTGTTTGTTTTGCTAGACACAAAGCTCTACTGGGCAAATAAATCGAGTAAAGTAAATCAAGTAAATCGTATACCAAAGCTATTACTGGTGCAGGACACTGGCCCTCCAAAACCTAGTCTGGACATCCCTGATCTAGTGCATGTCTTTGGACTGTGGGGAAAACCGGAGCACCCAGAGAAGCCCATGCCAACACAGAGAGAACATGCAAACCCCACACAAAAGTGCCAACAGGCCTTGCCAGGACTCAAACCAGCAACCTTCTTGCTGTGTTGCCACCGTGCTGCCCTATTCTAGTATACTAACCTTAATATTAATGAAGTTTCCCTTGTTGTCAAAGCTGTGCTCTCTGTATGCTAATACCTTTTCCATTGATGGTTCTCCATGTCCCCTACACATTCCCATTCTATAACTAATTACTCCACATGGTGAAGAGACAACAAAACTGTTAACTTCATCTTCTGAAATAATTAATCCATTTTAGGACACTTTAGGACTAAAGTTTCTTACAGTTCATATGCACGTATTAGTGTTCAAAATCTCCCCCAACTAATAAGAAAATACACAAAGCAATGTGGCATTTGCAGATATTTAATTTATGGATAAGCAAGGATTATGAATAAACAATTGAGTCTATTTTCTTTTTTAGTGAATGCTGATATTATTTTGTTTGTATTTATTTATGTGTTTCTGACTTTGTGCAGGACAATGCAATAGTTTATTATATAAATAGTTCTCTTAATCAGAAGTGACTTCTTTTTTTTTGTACAATGACATGTAGGCACCTAAAGGATGTCATTCTTCTTACTGCAATTGTCCAGGTGCTTAGCACTCTGTCATCCTACTTCTGGTACCTTTGGCTTCTGGTGAGACTGAATAATTTTTCAGATTGTAATATCTTTGAGGCGTCACATTTCAGTTTTACTGTAACCATATTATCATTTGCTCTCTTTTCACACCAGGCACCTGCAAGAGCTTTACATTTGTTGTGGGTGAACTTCCTGGGACCCTGGTTTTCTGCTGACTCGCAGGCAGCTCCTGAAGAGAACGAGAAAAATGACAAGAAACAGAGGCGACAGGAAAGACGACAGATGAGGAGATTCTAGATTTGTCGGTTTATTATTTTTTTTTACATTATTGTACAATTACAAAGAACAATCTAAATTATTCAGAGATATTTGATGTGATCCAGACAATAGATGGGCATTGTAAAGTGTCTGACTTCCTCACTTTTCATCAACTATTCCGTCCTTTTTAACCCCTTGGTTCCCTTCTCCAGCTATATGTCTGTCTTAAAATCACTAGCTCAGGTTTGTCTCAGTCATACAGCATATCTGCCTTCTGAGTGGAGCTCCACACACTTTTTTTCTTTAAATGAGTTTAACTTGCATAAATTGCCTTTGCCTACTATAGTGAGCTTTCATGTAATTAGCTTCTGTTTCCACTAAACAGGTGCAGCTACATGGCCCATTGCCCTCAGGCTACATGAGCTTTCACGTTGTACACTCACATTTCACATTATTTTCAGGATTCATGCTTAGGCCTTTCAGCAAATGTTGCTTTGATTGTTTCAGTATGAGGGGAAATAATGTACTGATTCTGCATCAAATGTGATTTTTTTTTGTTGAAGCTACATGTGCAGCTGGTGTTGCCTTGAGGAAATGGAAAGAATTTATATTTGTGTACATGCATACGTACACCTTTAATACACATGACCTCAGTATTGACTGCCATCAGTTTCAATGGAGTAAAGATGTGCAAAAAATATATATACAGCATATTAACAAACTGGGTAAAACCAGTTGTTTCAGGTAAAAAAAAAATTATGGATACCCAATGATTATAAATAAACTATTATAAAAGTATGAGTAGATACAAGTTTGTTTTTATTTAATCTTGAATGCACATATTACATACACACTACTGTTAAGTGTTGGAAAATCAACTAGTTTGTGCTTCTATTCCCAACTCAGTCCTTAAAGGCTCTCCTAACAGTACTCGTTTTTGGATGTCAAACACAGCTGTTTCAACTCTTAAATCAGGACTGTTGTTTCTCAATTGTTGCCCTGATGCTCTAATTCTTTTTTTTGTCTGGTCTCCAAGTTGGGTCCAGGAGTTTTTACTGATGACATGGAATAAATCCGATGTGTTGAAGGTTGCTGCAGTTGCATAGAGACAGACATGTAATGCGCATGCCCACTCTGAATGCGCGCACTCGGATCTTTTTTCGTCCTAGCCTAACTAATCTTTTTCTCATTGGTGCTGATCTGGTCTGTCTCTATCGGCAGACTGCAGCCACGATGATAATGACAGTCTCTATTTAACCTAGACTGAACGTCATCAACACAGCGAAGGTAAGAACTGTTGCTAAGCTACGGCTAGTTGGCAACCAATCAGATACAACATGACAACAGCAAAATTTAAGTGAGTAAAGTTGTTTTCTTGGTCAATTTTTTTTATCCGCAACTCTCATCTAGTAAAGTTACAAGACCACTTTCTATGGGCTTTAACATGAACAAGAAAAACAAAGCAATGAGGTAAATGCAGGCGATTTGTTTACAGCTCGGATGAGTTCCTTAGCCACCTTGCGAAGCTATCTTAGCTAACTAGCGCAAAGTTACTCAGCCGGAGAAGTGATGGATGGATGTGTTATTATATTTGTTAGTATGGAATGATTGTTAAGTTGTTAAAATATTTCAAAATGGGGGGAGAGAGAGAGAGGACTGGTCGATTGCAAATTAGCCATAACCTGTTAGCCGTGGAAACAGGGTCTCGTGGCAGCGTGAATTGTAAATGCCTCGCTTCAATCGGCTTTTTTAAAAGTTGTAACGTAAACGTAAAAAAAAATCTGTATGCATTTTGTTAGACTAACGTTAACGTTAATATAGGTTTCAGTCAGATCTCAAATTGAACCTGTCTTCCCTTTGTTCGTAACTTAAACACGTTACTTATATTGGCAAGATAATAACATCGAAGAGAATAACTAAACTGTTGTTATGGGGGTTATTAGGCATTCACAATATTACGATTAGACGGGGCAAACAGCATTAAACTGGACCATCAGAGTTTTTTTTTTACTTCTAATTAAAAAACAGTAGTTTATATGCAGTAGTTTAAATTTACGGTAATACTGTGTCATAAGGCGACCATTAAACAAGTTAACCTCAAAACCTCCCAAGTCTAACTTACAAATGTTGATGTGCAGATGAAATAGAAGTGTTTTGAGAATGTTTTTGCCCTCTAGGTTATGTTCAAGATAAACATTGGGGTGTAATTTCGCGAAAATAGTTATTCAAAACTTCTATTACAATTATTTCAATTTCAGGTAAAATAGGCTGTTAATTCCAAAACATGCTTTGTATGCTTTTGGCAGTTTAACAACATTTTTAGAAAAATAACCAAATAACTACTATATTTTCACTCTGTCGTGAATTTGGCTACATGTGCAAAGATTTACGAATTCAGATCCAAAATGCCATCTGAACTTTTCTTCTAAATAAGCACTTTCTCAATGTTTAGTTATTTCACTTGAAAGTCAATAAAAAGAACAAATTAATTGCCATAAAATTGCTAGTCAACAGAATGAGTAAAGAAGCAATTTTTTTTTTTGAGAATTTCAGATGTCAAAAATTAATATTGAAAATACACTCACCGGCAACTTTATTAGGTAGTGGGTTGGACCCCATTTTGCCTTTAGAACTGCCTAAATCCTTCGTGGCATAGATTCAACATATTTAACGGAAATATTCCTTTAGAGATTTTGGTCCATATTAACATGATGGCATCACACAGTTGCTGCAGATTTGTCAGCTGCACATCCATGATGCGAATCTCCTGTTCCACATCCCAAATGTGCTCTACTGGATTGAGATATGGTGACTGTGGAGGCCATTTGAGTACAGTGAACTCATTGTCATGTTTAAGAAACCAGTTTGAGATGATTCATGCATTATGACATGGTGCATCAGAAGATGGGTACACTGTGGTCATAAAGGGATTGATGGTCATAAACAATACTCAGGTAGGCTGTGGCATTGACACGATTCTCAGTTGGTTCTAATGGGCCCAAAGCGTGCCAAGAAAATATCCCACACACCATTGCACCACCACTACCAGCCTGAACCATTGATACAAGGCAGGATGGATCCATGCTTTCATGTTCATGCCAAAATTTGATCCTAGCATCTGAATTTCGAGCAGAAATCAAGACTCATCAGACCAGGCAATGTTTTTCCAATTTTCTATTGTCAAATTTTGGTGAGCATGTGTGAATTGTAGCCTCAGTTTTCTTTTACTAGCTGACAGAAGTGGCACCCAGTGTATCCTCTGCTGTAACCCATCCTCCTCAAGGTTGGACGTGTTGTGCATTCAGAGATGCTCTTCTCCAGATCTCAGTTGTAACGAGTGGTTATTTGAGTTATTGTTGCCTTTCTATTAGCTGGAACCAGTCTGGCCATTCTCATCTGACCTCTGGAATGAACAAGGCATTTGTGCAGGCAGAACTGCTGCTCACTGGATATTTTCTCTTTTTGGACCATTCTCTGTAAACCCTAAAGATGGTTGTGCGTGAAAATTCCAGTAGATCAGCAGTTTCTGAAATACTCAGACCAGCCTGTCTCCAACAACCATGGCAAATTCAAAGTCACTTAAATCACCTTTCTTCCCCTTTCTGTTGTTCGGTTTGAACTGCAGCAGATTGTCTTGACCATGTCTGCATGCCTTAATGCTGATTTGCTGCCATGTGATTGGCTTATTAGACATTTTGTACCAAATAAAGTGACCAGTAAGTGTATATTCCATATAAAAACAATCTGGCATTCAGAAGTTTTTAAAAAGACGCTTTACATTGTGACACCTTAGTTTTGTGTTCTTTTGAAGTTGTTTAGAGTGACGTTGTATTTATATGAGCTCTTTCATTTAAACAGATGGACAAAGAAAACAAAGTAATATTGTTGCATCCCTAACATTTCTGTGTTGGTGGGATGAGCAGAGTGATTTGACCCAGTCCACACAATCATCACGATGGCTCTCACCAACACCACTATAACATCATGGAAACTGCGTGAGTACAAATTCCCTAGGCATGACACTCCAGAACTTAAGCAGTCAAGATCTACTTAATGTTTAAGTATTCGAAAAATGTCACCGGCTTCTGTTTTGTCTCATGTGGTTTTCAGAGGAGATAGTGGCTCATTCCAGCAATGTGTCTTCACTGGTGTTGGGGAAATCCTCTGGTCGTCTACTGGCCACAGGCGGCGAGGACTGCAGAGTCAATATCTGGGCTGTCAGCAAACCAAACTGCATCATGGTAGCATCCTCTTGCTTGTTTAGATTTACAGGAGTGTCTCACATTTGTTTGGTTTGATGTTCATTCTCTGTTCTTTAGAGTCTGACGGGCCACACCAGTGCTGTGGGATGCATCCAGTTCAACAGTTCTGAAGAGCGTGTGGTGGCTGGTTCTCTGTCAGGTTCTCTTCGGCTTTGGGATTTGGAGGCTGCTAAAAGTAAGTGGTTTGTAAAATGCCTTTTTGCACTTTTTGTTAAGTTAGTACCTAATAAATGTCATGTGTACACAACAACCAAGTGCTTAAAAACTCACTTCATTTCCTTTTTTTTATTTGTGCGTGTACACAATGTGATTTAAAATACCTCTATTTTGAGACTAGTTTTCATGGCCGCAAAACACTACTGTCATAGAAAAAGGGCTTAAATCCATACAAATTATTTTGTAAACAGCCCCAATTTAACAGGGCAGTGTTCGTGCTAATATGTTATGTCTTTTTCACTATGCAAATGACAAGTCATGAAGGCAGATGTGTAATTTTCAAATGTAAAAACATTTAAATGGTCCATTATTTAAACATTTCATTTTCTTTCTTTATTTCTGTGGGTCAATAGGATGAAATAAGCCCTAGAAATGTTTTAAGAAGCTCTATAAGGTTCGTCCAATTAATCTTTACTGAGAAGTAATGGTTAGAAATGTGCTTTGCCTAAATTTGAGTTGATGCTCTGCACTATGATGGGATAGCAGGCCAATATTTGATGTAAAGATTTACATGTAGAGGAATAAGTGTATTCCTCATGCTTTCTGGGATGATTAAATGAACCTGTTTGGTGGGAGAGATTCCGTTGTGATCACTTTCACTCTGATCTCTGAAGACATGCACAGGGGCCATCTGACCAGAAATGCTTTTGAGTTTGACAAATTGTTCAATGTCTGTTTGTGAGTCCACTGAATTTTTTTTCTTTTTTTCAAAGTTCTACGCACGTTGATGGGGCACAAGGCCAGCATCAGCAGTCTAGACTTTCACCCCATGGGAGAATACCTGGCATCTGGCTCTGTGGACAGCAATATTAAGGTGTGTTAAATATATTCGACATGAAAGTTTTCGTTGCCAGCTGCCTATACTGTAGCATAACTGTGGTTTCAGATTTTTTTTGTTATCTTAACATAGGTTGATGAATTTGAAATTTTGTCTGGAAAAATTGTTGATTAATGTTACTTCCAGCAGCCACTGTCATACTGCACTTTGATTGTAGAAAATTTCAGGATTGCTTATAGGTAAAATGAACTTTGTACATTGTATTTCTATGTCTCATTGCCATGTCTTCATGGGTTGGGTGCAAATCCAGAAAATCACTGGCAGCGTGAATCAATTAAAAACAAAGATGCTAATACAATTCTCACAAAAAACATGATCTATGTGTTTTCTGGAATCTGTGTGAAAGAGGCTTGTGTAGGACTACCAAGGCTTGTCATACATATTTATTAAATAAATGAAGACAAAGTTCTTTGTTCATTCAGCATATATAATTTATAATATTACATTCAGGCTTCATGGGTTCAGTGCGAAACA